CTATACACTCATCAGAAAAAAATAGAGTTGAAGTAAAAAATGGTCACAAGAGATAAATAGGGTCATTATATAATGAAAAATGAAAAATATAATAGTTGTAAATATATATGACCATATCACAGAACCTAAACATATTAAGCCAACACTAACATATCTGAAGGTAGAAAAAAAACAGCAGTACAGTAATCAGGGACTCCAATACCCCAATTTCAACAACAGCCTGATAAAGACACTAGAAGAAAACTACAAATAAACATCCTTGATGAATACAAATGCAAAAATTCTCAACAAAATTCAACAGTACATTAAAAGATTATACACCATGATTAAGAGGGATTTATTCCGTGTATGCAAGGAGGGTTCAATAAAGATAAGGCATGGGATATACTACATTAATAGGATGAAAGATGAAAATCAACCATATGATCATCTCTATAGATATAAAAAGTATTTCACAAAATTCAACATCCTTCCATGAGAAAAACTCTCAATAAATTGGATATAGAAGAAATATAGCTCAACATAATAAAAGCCCTATTTGATGATCCCACAGCTAACATCATTCTAAATAATGATAGGCTGGAAGGTCTCTAAGATCAGAAACAAGACAAGGGTGCCCACTATCATCATTCCTGTTCAGCATCATAGTGCAAGTCCTAGCCAGACCAAATGGGCAAGAAAAAGAAATTATTATTATTATCCAAATCAGAAAGGGAAAAGTAAAATTGTAGATGATATGATCTTATATACAGAAATTCCTAGACTCCACCAAAAACCTATTAGAATAACCAATTGCAATAAAGTTTCAGTATATAGAAATCAGTCATGTTGCTAGAGTCTAACAACAAAACATCTGAAAGAAAAATTTTTTTTTTTTAAAGATTTTATTTATTTATTTGACAGAGAGACACAGCGAAAGAGGGAACATAAGCAGGGGGAGTGGGGGAGGGAGAAGCAGGCTTCCCGCCGAGCTGGGAGCCCGATGTGGGACTCGATCCCAGGATCCTGGGATCATGACCTGAGCCGAAGGCAGACGCCCAACGACTGAGCCACCCAGGCGCCCGAAAGAAAAATTTTTTTTAAAGTCCCATTTACAATAGCATCAAAAACAATAAAATTCTTAGGAATAAATTTAACCAGGGAGGTAAAAGATATTCAAGAAAGAAAGGAAACAAATGGAAAAATATCCTGTGTTCACAGAGCAGAAGAATTTATATTGTTAATAAGTCCATACTACCTAAATTCAATGCAATCACTATCAAAATTCCAATGACATTTTTCACATAGAAAAAAAAATCCTAAAATTTGTATGGAGCCATAAAAAGATGCCAAATAGCCAACACAGTACCTAGAAAGAACAAACCTGGAAACACGAAATTCCCTGAATTCAAAGTATGTTACAAAGTAATCAAAACAGAATGGTACTGTCAGAAATAGACCAATGGAATAGAATTGCAAGCCCAGAAATAAACTCACACAAGTACCACCATCAAATATTTGACACCACATCTGTATCTTTGGGGTAAATACAAGTACCCCAAAGATACAGATGTAGTGAAAAGAAGGGCCACATGCACCCCAATGTTCATAGTAGCAATGTCCACAATAGCCAAACTGTGGAAGGAGCCAAGATGCCCTTCAACAGACAAATGGATAAAGAAGATGTGATAGAGTATTAGCCATCAGAAAGGATGAATACCCAGCAACTGCATCGACATGGGTGGAGCTGGAGGGGATTATGCTAAGTGAAATAAGTCAAATGGAAAAAGACAATTATCATATGGTTTCACTCATATGTGGAACATAAGGAACAGTGTGGAGGACCACAGGGGAAGGGAGGGAAAACTGAATGGGAAGAAATCAGAGAGGGACACAAACCATGAGAGACTCTAGACTCTGGAAAAAAAAACTGAGGGTTACAGAAGGGAGGGGATGTGGAGATGCGGGAACTGGTGATGGGTATTAAGGAAGGCACGTATGGTGATGAGCACTAGGTGTTATATACAACTAATGAATGGCTGAACACTACATCAAAAACTAATGATGTACTACTATATGCTGGCTAACTGAACATAAAATAAATAAATACATACATACATACCAAAATGGCAGAAAAACAAAACAAATATTTGACAAGGGAGTAAAGAACACTCTATGAGGAAAGCATAGTCTCTTCAATAAAAAGTCCTGAGAAAAGTGGATCTTCACATGCCAGAGAATGAAAATGGACACCTATCTTATGCCAATCACAAAAATTAATTCGAAATGGATTAAAGGATTAAACCTAAGACCCAAAACTATAAAACTCTTAGAAGTAAACATATGAAAAAAGCTCATTGACATTGGTCTTGACAATATTTTGAATATGACACCAAAAGCAAAAGTAAAAAGGGGACTATATCACACTATAAAGCTTTTGCAAAGCAGTGGTAATCATCAACAAAATGAAAAGGCAACTTAGAGAATAGGAGAAAATAATATGCAACTCATATGTTGGAGAAGGAGTCCAAATGTATAAGAAACTCACACAACTCAAGAAAAAATATCCAATTAAAAAGTAGGCACAAAATCTGTATGGGCATTTTTCCAAAGAAGACCTAAAAATGGCCAACAGGTACATGAAAAGATGCTCAAAAATCACCAATCATCAAGGAAATGGAAATCAAAATCACAATGAAGTAACACCTAATACCTATTAGAATGGTTACTATCAAAAAGATAAGAGGTAACAAGTGTTGGCAAGGATGTAGAAAAAGGAATACTTATGCACTGTTGGTGGGAAGGTAAAAGGTACAGCCACTACAGAAAACAGTATGGAGGTTCCTTAAAAAATTAAAAATACAACTACCATATGATCCAGCAATCCCACTTCTGGGTATGTATCTGAAAGCAATCATATTCTACCTTAAAGAGAGATCTGAACCCCCATATTCACTGCATTATTATTCACAATAGTGAAGATATAGAAACCACTTAAGTGCTCACTGACAGATGAATATGGATATATATATCACATTTCAGCCATAAAAAACAAAATCATGCATTTGCAACAACATGGATGGACCTGGATAGCATAATGCCAAGTAAAATAAGTTAGAGAAAGGCTAATACTTTATGATTTCCCTTATATGTAGAATCTAAAAAAAGGGAGAATAGAATGGTGATTTCAAGGGGCTGTAAGGTGGGGAAAACGGAGATGTTGGTCAAAGGGTACAAATTTCCAGTTATAGAGTTAATCTTAAATATTCTCACCATGCAACACACACACACAGAGGTAATTTATATGAGGTGATAAATGTATTAACTAACTTTATTATGGTAATCATTTTGCAATATATACAGGTATCAAATCATTACATTGTATACTCTTAACTTTCACACAATGTTATATGTCAATTATTCCTCAGTAAAGCTGGGGTGGGGGGCGGGGAGTCCTTTCCTTACAGATAGCAAAGAAACAAACAAAAAGCCTACTGTTTCTAGATTTATACATTGTTTTACTCAGCAGTGTGGGGTCTCAATGCAGCAATTCTCCAAAAGGGTATTTCTTATTTGTTCTACAGGATTAACCAGGCCACCCTCCCCTTTCTTTCAATTGTACACCCTTATTTTACAACATTGATATCCTGGTCTCCATAGAAGACCCCCACAAGGGCCTATCATATCCTTTAAGCTCTTAAGCTCTATGCAATGTCTCAAACTGAGGAGAGATCAGAATGGCTTTTCAACAGCCAGCAGTGGAAGACTATAACTTCTTTCTCTATTTATCCCCAGGGTGCAGAACATGGATTTTTGCCTACAAGTACCACAATCAAAACCAATCAATTACCAACCATAAAATGGAGGCTTCTAAGTTCAATATTTTAACAGGGTGCTGTCACTTTGCCTTGGGTGACTCACAGGATATACGTCAGTATACAGAATAGAAACATTTATTGGACCACAAGAACATCCAAGCCAAAAGATGTGGGTTCACTACCATGGAATTTGCATGTGTTTTTTTGCCCTTTGTCTCTGCTCTTTAGTCAAGCATCACTTCAAATCTTTTGCCTATTTTCTGAATTAGTACACAGTAAAATTGACTTTTTATTCTTTTGGTGTACAGTTCTATAAATTTTGACATGATGAGGAAGGTTCCCCTTTAAGAGTTTGGCTCCTATAGTTTCCACTACCAACTGCTTTCATTGTCTCTACTGTTCTGCCACAGGATTGCCTGAGGAATTGGGGTACAAGAAAATAGAAAAAAACACAAGAATCTCTTCTACTCTCCTTGAGCCAGAACTAGAGGTATCTCCTAGATACCTGTCTGCTCCAAATTGCCCAAACTCAAATCAAGGATATAGAGATATAGAAGGTTGGTAATTTTTTATCTACTAATTAAATGTCATCTTGAATGCCGGTATTCTTACCTGATCCACCTGATCTTTACTTTTTAGGAACACCAAATACCTGAGGAGCTTTGCATTCACTCCAGGTTTATAGTTCTGTTAGCAGGAGAGAGAGGCTAGTATGTATATATGCCATCTTACCTATAAACAGATTGACTGTTATTTAAAACCATGATTTCTATCTTGTGGGTAGCAATAATTCTTCACATATTCTAGATCTATGCCCCATACACATATATTTTCCAAATATTTTCTCTGAGTCTATGGATTCTTTTGAAGAGCAAATATTTTAATCTTGATTAAGTCCAATTTATTATTTTTTCTCCCATGGTTTATGCTTTTTGTGTTATAAAGATCTGGTATTCTTCTGGGAGATTTATAATTTTAGTTTTACATATGGAACCATAATCCATTTTGAGTAATTTTTATATGTGGTGTGAGTTAAGGGTTGTGGTTCATTATTTACATGAGGATATTTGACTGTTCCAGCACAATTTGTTGAAGACTGTTCTTTTCTCACTGAATACTCTGACACTTGGTGAAAGTCAACAACCATACAACTTATACTATTTACAAAGAAATAAGGAGAAAAAGTATAGTGTAATAACATACCAGAGATACCATGGCCCAACCAGTCTTGTTATAGATAAATTCCAAGTTGTTCCTTCTTAAATAGAGCAAACCGCCAACAAGTGACACTAACAGGGCCAAAGCGATGGTGCCAGAATAGTTGGGTGGTCTGAAGACTCGAATCTGCAAACAGGCAGTGAAAATTTTAAGAGTTGAATAAAGTAAAAGTGTTTTTCTCTTGACCATATTACAGTCCTTCCAATTTTCAACTCCAAAACTTTAAAAAGGTACCACCCTACTTTTCATTTGTGGAACTAACACTCCTCTTACCCTTTACAAATCAGAAACAAATGGCTTCCAACATCATGGCTTTGTAAAAAGACCTGCTTTAGGTGAACAGTTACTATACATACACATTACTTATATTTAACCCAGAACTGCTGTGTTTCACCTATGAAACGTGGGATCATCTAGTACAGGGGGAGGAAATAGGGGTGTAATATATTTATTATTCCAAACTGGGACATTTTAACATCTTTAACGTTTTTTAACATCTTTATTGACATATAATACACCATACAATTCACCTGGTGTACAATTCAATGGTTTTTCTATTCACAGGGTTATCAAGTAACTTAAAGTGTAGGTATGATCAATAGATTAGAATCATTTCTGATGAAAATTCAGTAACCCTTATAAAGAATTAATAGTACTTTTTCAATATTACCCTTAGTATCTTGTATGAACTGAATGATACTGTTGCAGAACTGAATATTTGCCAAAAGATTAAAAAAAAAAAAAAAAGATGACAAGAGTTAACAATGATGAGAGACACCCATCTTGACTAAGAATGTGTTTACACCTTATGGTAAAATTACATATTCTAGAATAAATGTACTTTAAAATTACTGGTTATAATTGTTCACTATAGAAAACTCTGGTAGATGAAGTTAAAGCAGCCTTAAGCCCTCCACATAGACATTAACCACCATCAAGATTTCGGTTTATTTCCTCAATAAACTGTCTACATATCTACACTCATATTTATGCTTTAAAACAAAATTCTAGATCATACTATAAATACTACTTTTCTAACCTATACCTTGAGCTTCTTTCTATGTCAAATATACTTGTAGACCATTGTTGTCCATGCTACAGTACATGTAAGTAGTCTCCTATTTTTAGACATTTCAATTATTTCCAATTGTTTTCCATTATAATGAATGTTACTTAAAAAATATTTCTATGGCTAAGTATTTGAATCATCCCTAATATATCCTTAGGTTAAACTTCCAGAAGTAGAATTGTTAAAGTTCAATTACATAAAATAAAGACATTACACACACACACAGAATTAGTTATTCCACAGTCCAAAGAACAGTATACATATTTTCTCACGTGGTTCATGAAAAGTATTATATCATTTGTATTTGTCCAAAAGCTAAATAAAAATTACACATCTTTTTTATTGTTATGTTAATCACCATACATTACATCCTTAGTTTTTGATGTAGTGTTCCATGATTCATTGTTTGCGTATAACACCCAGTGCTCCATGCAGTACGTGCCCTCCTTAATACCCACCACCAGGCTAACCCATTCCCCCCTCCCCTTCCCCTCTAGAACCCTCCATTTGTTTCTCAGAGTCCATAGTCTCTCATGGTTCGTCTCCCCCTCTGATTTCCCCCCCTTCATTTTTCCCTTCCAACTATCTTCCTTTTTTTTTTAACACATAATGTATTATTTGTTTCAGAGGTACAGGTCTGTGATTCAACAGTCTTACACAATTCACAGTGCTCACCATAGCACATACCCTAGAATTTCTTTACTAATACCTTTGAACAATATTCCATATATATTTTAGCCTCTGAAATTACTTTGTGCCCAACTCGTGTACTTTTTAATGGTTCTTAAAATATCAGTGTACCATTATTCTAAAAACCATTTAAATTCACCTAACTCAGTCAAAATTCAGCTTACGGCTATCACACGGTTTTCTCTAAGCAAGGAAAAATGTTCTACAGAGTTAATTTTAAGAATCCTGTGGCCTTACTACAGTGTTAATAACAAACCAAACTAATTAGTCTATTATTAAAACTGTGAGGAATAAAAACATACATGAACATCCGTTCTGTCAGCAATCCACTTTGCGAGTTGTTCAGCTGCAAATCCAATTCTTTGAAGGTCAAAAGTATCAGCTCTTTTGGGTCTGCCTTTTGGAGGAAAATGCATGAACGTAGGAGCAGAATTCATGTTGAGCTGTAAAACATAAGATAAAAAATACTAAATACAGTATCCCACCAATCTTTATATTTCCATTAATCTAATATTTTATGGTTTTTCCTGCATGAATTTTAAAAAGATAGCATACATTATGAAAATCCAAGTGGCTTTCCAGAGCTTAATTATTGTGCTTATTCATTGTAATATGCTATTGACTGAAAAAGAACTTGTGAATTTGGATAGGTTCTCAGAACCTTCACATATAACATTACAATTTCACTTAAGCAGTTATTAAAGAAAAAGTACTGGCACTTGTTGAAAAAAATGCATAAAAGCATTAATGTCAAATTATTAAATTCTCTATTAAAAATTTGAAGACTTTTTAAAAATGATGATTATATCAGAAACCAACATTTTTGTTCTAAATAACCTGAATTTACCAGACTACAGGAGAAATCCACAATGATAATCTTTTTCTGTTCAATTTCTCTATTAATTCAAGTGTCTTAAAATGATTATATGTCACAGTTATTTTCTATAGGCAATTCCATTTGAAAAGTGCATTGAATAGAAGACTACTTTTAATATAAATGGTGCTTATTAAGAATATAATACCTAAAATAAATGTTAGGTTAATTTGCATTGAGTAGCAAACTACAAAAATTATATAAATTCTCACTGCTCAGGAATATGAAAAATGTCTCAAATAAAGGCCAATAGGTTTTTGGCCTTGACTTGCAAAATAGTTCAGCATTTCCCGATACTGAGAATGAAAAGCAAAATCAAAGCAAAAACTGTCATTGCAGCTGACATCAAAGTAGAGATGCAGCAGTGCCAACAGTGGGCTTGCGTGTTATGGGCATTAGTAAGGCTGGTTAAAGAGAACAAAACACACAGCCACTAGTTGCTTTCTTCTCGGTGCTTTTTCCCATGCTAGACTTTGTTCGTGTGTGTTTCCATGGTGGATGCATGAGAGATAATTAGCGCCAACACGTAAATAACATACTACAAGTAAAAACTCTCTGCGTTGGAACAATCAAAAAATTCCTACTAAGGTTTAAGATCTAAAAATCTTAGAGTTTAAAAAAAATCATACAATTCAAAGCTTTCATCGTCATTAAAATGTACAAATTCCCCAAGGCTACACAAAGCAGGGTACAACACAGATCTTATTGCTAGTCCAGACCTGCTTCTAACACACCACAATCATTAACTGGTTGGTCTGTCATCATTCACTTAGCCTCAACCATTACATGGGAATCATATATAATTGAAGTTACTTTCCCAACAAGTCCCAAGTAAGTCAGGAATTACCAAGTTTTAGCATTCATATTACTATTATCTTCAGAAAGCACAATGTTTTAAAATGGCAGTTTAGAAAGAGCACTTCAACAAAATGTGGTTCAATAGTGAGAAAAGAAACCTAGCATTAAAAATCTTTTAGTTCTCAATAATGCAAAATATGTACTTCCCTGTTTTTGTACATTATAATTCCACATAAAAGCCACTAACTGCTACTTTTATGCATTTTAAAATAACTCTTATTGCTAAGCCAGGGGCTAGGTTTTAGAAAAGACAAAGCAGTTCTATATTCAGAATTCTGCTGAATCAAAATTAACCTGAGGAAATTTTTCAACTAAAAACAATCTTGATGTCAACTTTCATATCTATGTCAAACTTTAAAAAAAAAAAACAAATTATGGCTAAAGCATACAAAAGAATTCAATGATTCTATCCAACAATATATCTATATGGTTATATCCTGGCAGCCTGTATAGTCAGTACTCAGCATACAGTTTGAGTTAGTTGCTCACATTTTAAAGATAGGAAAATTTCATATAAAAATTCATATTTGGGTTTCTCCTTGAAAAAAACAGCTCTAGCTACATGTGGCCTGCATCTGCTAAACACAGCTAGAACAAGCTGTATCCCTCTGAGGTCAAGTTAGTCTGCTCCAGTTTGCTGTAGTCCTCATCCACACCACACTGTTTCCTCAACAACGAGATCAACAGTCAGCTCCATACTGTTTTGCTGATTTTATTTCTTACAGTAGTTAGGAGAAAAATGAAATAGTATTTCCACTAAAGATTTATTTTATATAAAAAGACCCAGAAAGACTTTGTTTTATTAAAATAGGAGAGAACATATGTAATTATGCAAGTAAAGAACTAATGTGTTTAATATATTAAGAATGTACATAAATAAAGATACCATAATGCAACTAAACTAATCCAATCTGCTTTCTTCATTTAGTTTACAAACCTGGCCAGGATAGGTATTCGGGCTTGAAGCCTCTGCTCTAGCAGTCAGATTGGACCTGGACAACTATTTCCTAATATGGCAGAGAGGATTCAAGTGTATAATGAATAGCACTTCACCTGATGATCTCTAAGGTCAATTCTCCTGAGAGTCCATGGAGGCCTATAAATTACATGAAATAATATTTGGTTCTTATAGTACTATAATTTCCCTTTGTAAGGTTATGTGAAATTACAGATGGTCCCTGACTTAAGATGGTTCAACTTGTAATTTTTTAACCTTACAATGGTGCCAAAGTGACACACATTCAGTAGAAACTGTACTTCACAGTTTGAATTTGGATCTTTTTGTGGGGTAGTGATACGCAATACAGTACTCTCTCATGATGCTGACCGAGCGCAGCGAGCCACAGCTCTCGGTCAACCATGCGATCATGAGGGTGAACAACTGATACACTGAACCATTCTGTTTTTCACTTTCACTACCATAGTCAATGAATCACAATGATATTCAATACTTTAATATGAAACAGGCTTTGCGTTAGATGATTCTGTCCAACTGTAGACTAATTTAAGTGTTCTGAGGACACTGAAGGTAGGGTAGGCTAAACTGATATCCAATAGTTACGTGTATTAAATGCATTTTTGACTTACAATATTTTTGACTTACAATGGCTTTATCAGGACATAACCCCAATGTAAGTCAAGGAAGATCTGTACATACACACACACACACACACACGTGTGTGTGTTATTATTATGATATTATTACTATCAGCTCCCTGATCTGTAAGCTCTTTATGGGGAAGAGCTATGTATGTGTTTCTCACCAATCCATTGCTCCTACAGAGTAGACAGTCAATAAGATTTGCTAAATAGGTGAACAGAAAGAAACATCCCAAAAGGCAAAATAAATTTATAGGGGAATAAGTAAGTGAGGAATACTAACAGGAAAGACCAAGAATAAAGGGTACTGAAGGCAAAAAAGGAAATTTCTTATTCAGCTAGAAACTGGCATTCAAATAATCAATCGGGAAGCAAATAAGAAAAAATACTTACTAATGGCCCATTTATAATTAGTGAGCTAGATTCTTTACAGAACTAAATGCTTTTCCATGACTTCATAAAGTATAATGCCAAAGAATGTCACATGTGAGAAAAATAAAATAGACCAAACTAATCAATGCCATGTACTACAATAAATTTTACATTTGAAAGGCACTGATCACGTAGTGACAAATACAAAAAATATTAGTAGCTGCAAGGTAACAGCATGACTAAGAACTAGAGCTCTGGGAACAGACTAGCGAGCTCAAACTCTAGCCCTATATTACACTAACTTTGTAAACTTAGAAAAGCAACCTCTCCATACTTTAATTTACTTATATGTAAAATAAAGATCACATTATTTTCTTCATTGGATCATTGTGAAACTAAATAAAAGAATATACATTAAGCACTTCGAAGAGTACTTGGACCATGAGCACTTAATGTTAGCAATGATGATGACACAGCCATGACAAAACTGATGACAACTAGCATCCTTATGCTGCAATTCATTATCTTGCTCTACAGAGAAGACTGTGTAAATGAGAATGTGTTAGTCTGCTCAGGTTACTGTAACAGAATACCATGGACTGGGTGGCTTAAAAAACAGAAATTTGTTCTCACTGATATGAGGAATTCTTTATCTCAGGAAACAAACTGAGGGTTGCTGGAGTGGTGGGGGGTGGGAGGGATGGGGTGGCTGGGTGATAGACATTGGAGAGGGTATGTGCTATGGTGAGCGCTGTGAATTGTGTAAGACTGATGAATTACAGACATGTACCTCTGAAACAAATGATACATTATATGTTAAAAAAAAAAAAAAAAAGAAGATAGTAGGAAGGGAAAAATGAAGGGGGGGGAAATTGGAGAGGGAGACGAACCATGAGAGACTATGGACTCTGAGAAACAAACTGAGGGTTTTAAGAGGGGAGAGGGTGGGGAGATGGGTATTAAGGAGGGCACGTACTGCATGGAACACTGGGTGTTATACGCAAACAATGAATCATGGAACACTACATCAAAAACTAATGATGTAATGTATGGTGATTAACATAACATAATAAAAAAAAATAGAAATTTGTTGTCTCACAGTTCTGGAAGCTGGAAGTCCAAGATCAAGATACCAGTAGAACTGGTCTCTGATGAGACCTGGTTTGCTGATTTGCAGACGGTCGTCTTCTTGCAGTGTCCTTACGTGGCCTTTTCTCTGTGCACATACTCTCCCGGTTTCTGCTGCTTCTTATAAGGACACCACTCTATTGGATTAGGGTCCCATTCTACAATCTCATTTAACCTTAATTATCTCCTTATAGGCCCTTGCTCCAAATACAGTTACTTCTAGGTTATGGCTTCAACATATGAGTTTGGGAGGCACACAATTCAGTCCATAGAGAGAATACTTTTAAATAAATATTTATTACTTTACATGTAAAATTCTATCTGTTACATTGGAAAAAGTGAGGGTTAAGTAAAAATTACATTGAATTTATATAAAATTTCATAAATTTGTATAAAATATCACCTAAACCCAATACAGTTAAATGTCAAAATAAGGATAATGCATGTAAATTACCACTACACCCTTGAAAAAATGTATTTCCTCAGGGCACCTGGGTGGCTCAGTCATTAAGCGTCTGCCTTCGGCTCAGGTCATGATCCCAGGGTCCTGGGATCGAGCCCCGCATCAGGCTCCCTGCTCAGCGGGAAGCCTGCTTCTCCCTCTCCCACTCCCCCTGCTTGTGTTCCTGCTCTCGCTATCTCTCTCTCTGTCAAATAAATAAATAAAATCTTTAAAAAATTTATGTTTCCTCTATAATGGAAAAGTTAAAATGTGTTTAGCATACTAATAGCAAAAACTGTGCAATGATAAAGATAACATTGGCTAAAATTATTTTAATCACATCACAGAATTTATTATAGCTACTTATTGTCTTTATTAACTTATTCAATGAATTGTATTTTTATTTGACCAACAAAACCGTATCCACCATAATCAACTCTATTAAGTACATTAGCAAAATAATACCTGTTGAAAAACATCTGTCCCCTCATCATAGTCCACCATACTGAAGAAGAGTTTGTTGCAAAAGGCAGATGAGTAGCGCCAGGAGTTAGCCAGTATTTGATATTCTTCATTAGCTTGCCTGATAAGGAGAATGGGGCAGAGTAAAAACATATCAGTACTCAGGCATTAACAAAGCTGTTAATAAAACAGGTTTCTAACACCAGGGTTGGCTAATTTCTGCACAGACTGCAAGCACTGATTTTATATTTTTACATGACTGTAACAAAATAGGAAAAATATTCCATCACATGTGAAAATTATTTAAGATTCATATTTTGTTGTTCATACAGCTGTACAGCACCTCAGCCACACGGATTCATTTGCGTTGCTATGACTGCTATTGCACTATATACGGGCAGAGCTGAACAGCTGTAACGGAAAGCGTGTGGGCCATACAGTGTGTGGCATGGCACTTTAAATAATCGGCAATTCTTGGGCGCCTGGGTGGCTCAGTTGGTTAAGCGACTGCCTTCGGCTCAGGTCATGATCCCGGAGTCCCTGGATCGAGTCCCGCATCGGGCTCCCTGCTCGGCAGGGAGTCTGCTTCTCCCTCTGACCCTCCCCCCTCTCATGTGCTCTCTCTCTCATTCTCTCTCTCACAAATAAATAAATAAAATCTTTAAAAATAATAATAATAATCGGCAATTCTTATTCTAGGGTTTGTGGCATCCCCCCCCTTCAGATGATTTTTAGTAAAGGACATAAAGCAATTTTTAAAATATGGGCAATTCAGTTTAACAGAGAACAAAAATCATAGGCATTTTTTTACATTGTAAACGCAGTTATACTGCATCTTTATATATTCCATTTATCTAAAAGTGCATTTACATTCAAAATTACTAATTAGTAAAAGTAAGTAAAAATTCCCCTGGTAGTTAAACCAAATGCCACAAATAAGCCCTCTTCTATGAACATTACCCACTCCTATTTTGAATTAATTTCTACTGGACATTTTGTTGATTTTCCAAATAATAAAGCTTTATTTAAGTGTAGGGTTGGAGTAGAAACAGAGACATGGCATTGCTAGAAGGATATAAGTACAGTCATAGAAACAAGAAGCAACAAGTGATCATTAAAACATGTTTTTATAAAGTGTGTTACCTCCACATAATTGAGAAAGGAGTCTATCTCCTCCCTCTCCCAAAATGGAAGAGATAAAAATGTATAATCTCATAATAACACAAAGACTTGGAGCAGTCAGCAGCAGATAAGAGATTTCAAGAAATACCTCGAAAACAGAAAGCTAGTGGAAAAGTTTTGATGGAGGAAGGTACAATCACAAAAGGAGATTGCACTGCAGGAAAGAGTTAGGAAAAATGCTGGATTAAGAAGCAGCGGAGTCTGGAGATAAGAAATGGAACTCAGAGATCATAATTAAATTTCTTTATATGGGATAGAAGACCCAAACTCCTGCCCCACTCCCAACCAGTTCCTATGTGAGTCTTTCTATACCTAAGTGACTGGACTATTAAAAAAAAAAAAAAATCACCTTATGTGACCGAGAAAAACCCAACATGATTAAAAAAAAAAAAAAAAATCCCAAACAAAACAGACTCCAGAAGAAACATAATTCAAAGAAGTACAAAAACATTAAAAAGAAACTTTAATATACTCAGAAAAAGTCAGAGGAATTTGTCAAGAACTGTGCAGGGTATGAGATTTTATCTTCTATACAAGCTAACAAGCTACCCTGTTACTGTTTCATGGAGGCTGGCAGAAAAGATGAGACTGCTGGGTCAGAGACAGCGGACTTTATTACTTCATGTTCATTCACATCAGTTCCCCCTGCCCCCAAGTCTCACGGGTGACACAAAGGATCCTTCGTGAATGCCAGCACACACAGTTAACTGTGTTAAAGGAGAACACCGAGGTTGAGGCACTTACTGTTTTTATAATAAGTGAGAAGAAGCCTGTGCTTTGTTCCGTGGGAGACATTATTTCATTCCTTAAGGCTTCTCACTGCACACACACCCCTGAGAAACTGCCCAGGTAAAGAGCAATCGGGCCTCTGCCTTCTTGGCATAACCAGTCAGAACATGCAGAGATGCTCAGGGCCCATGACAGCCTGCTTCTTCCAATAGTATTCACACACACACACACCCCAATATCATAGAAAAAAGGAACAAAGAAAGTAAAAGAGAGCACTTAAAATTTAAAATATGATTGTTCAAGTTAAATACCAGTATTAGAAGATAGTGTTAAATAAAAATCACAGAATAAAAAAGACACAGGTGGACTATACTGGAAAAAAAGAGGGAGAAAGGGACCTAGAGATATAATCCCAAAATTCCAACTTTCAGAGGAGACCCAGAAATACAAGAGAGAGAGAAGGGAGGAAATATTTCTGGAGACAGAATTAAAGGAGACTAAGTCTTCAAATTAAAATTATTTCCCAGGTTCTAAGTAAGAAAAACTAGAAAAGACCAACACCAGACATACTGTGATATTCCAGATTACAGACAAAAAGGTCAGAGAAAAAAATATGTCACAATGACAAATGATGAGATTGGGATTGGACTAATAATTATCAACACTAGATATTGGCAGATAATTGAACAATTCCTTCAGAGTTTTGAGAGCATGTTATTTTCAATGTAGAATTCTGTATCAAGCCAAACAATTAAGTTTGAAATAAACATATTCTCAGAAATTTAAGGAATGTGAAATTACCTTAGGATATAACTGAAAGAAAGGTAATATGAATGAAAAAATGAGAAAACTTGAGAGTATGATAGAAACGCTGTAAGAAAGGGAAAAGAGCAACTAGGTAGGCAGGGTAGAAGATGTTTAAGAAAACTGTGATCCACCTAAGAAGCTATAAAGTACAAATTAGAACAGAAATTTAATTGGACTTTAAGATAAAAAGATTCTAAGCAATCATTAGAATCAGTAGACGTTGGAAGATATTAAGACCACAGTATGTAAGGCATATTTGGTCCAGGAAAAACTACAAGAAAATATATAAGATGCAAATTAAAATGTATCATATTTTTAATCGGAAATGAGAAAGTTTCATTATTTTGAACAGTATGGAATGTAAATGCTATCAACCCTTGACGATGTAAAAGTACAATTAACAGGATTTGGTAGGTAAAATGGAAAGGGGAGAGGTGAGAAGAAGGGTTGTGCTTACTAATCTTCATGTGACCAATTAGGGAATCAAGAGAGGTCATCTATAGTTAATGGACAAGAAATAGAAGGATGCTATTTACTGTTACAATAATAGAAGAACTAGCAGCTACAAAAATAAGGAGAGGTGAATTAAATCCTTATCTACCGTAGCAAGAAACATCAAGATCAAGTCTGCTTTATGAAATACTGTTATAAAAATAATATTTAGAAATATCAAGAAAAAAAATCACTAGAGGAAGAAAATAAAAAGGAATAATAGTGATTGCCTATGGCCAAGTATACACATAGATGAGTATAGAGGCTAGGGAGTATAGTTGTTCATTTTAGGCTTTTTTAATTAACAAGGAGCACATAATATTGCTGTGATTAAAATATATATATATTTAAAAGGGTTAAATACAAACAGGGCTATAATCTGAGGTCACTTAGCATAAAGACCTTAACGGCATCATCTTATTGGACCATAGTACAAAAACAGATCATTGTAAGGATCAGCCTAAGATTGCACTGTGCTCAGTAGGCAGAACATGTTCAATGAAAATGATCACAATCTTTTAAAGCTTTGGTGGTTGAATAAGATTTAATTTACTATAATTCACTGAAAAACTATTTATTGAGCACTTAATAGCTAAGTGAGCTAATCTCTTAAGGTCTCTGCTCTCATGAAGTTGATATTTTAGTGGACAGACATATAATAAACAACCAAATAAGTAATTAAAATCCACAATACACACTGAGAAAATAATAGAGAGAATGGTATTACAGAAAATAATGGAGGATCTTTGTAGATGGAATGTCAAGAAAGGTTTCTCAGATAAAATGACTCTAAAGCTCAAATCCCAAGGATGAGAAAAACACAACACTGAAAGAAGCTAGAGAATAAACATTTCAGGTAGCAGGAAAAGCAAGCAGAAAGGCCTAAGGAGGGAAAGAACTTAAGATGCTGGTAAAATGAAGCTGTGACATAAATGAGAACATGCTCTCTGTTTATTAGAGGAATACACAGAGAATACAGAGCTTATGCCCTCCCTCATCTATTTAAAACAGTGCCTCACTGCTACAATAAAAACAGTAAAAACCAGCGTAAGTCCTAAAATCTGATTTGATTTTTGTCATATGGAATATAATATTACTGGTAAGTATTCATCACTGATTTTTAAAGAAGCACTTCACACAGTGAACTGGCACCAATTAAGTAGGTCTGAACATTTCTGCATGCTAATAAACCTCAAGAGAACAATGCTACCTTTAGAAAAAATCATTAAAAAGATTAACATCACAATTAAAAAAACCAGTATATTTCTCCACAAAAGAACATTTTAACTTCGAAAAACTGAAACTAAGGGAAATAGCATATCAGCAAAAACTGGCATTCTTGTGACAATGATATTCTAAGAAATGAAAATGCTTCATTCTGAAAAATATGCAAGAAGAAAACAATCAAATTTTAGTATTCAACATCTATGCATAGTATGTTAGAGAACAATGTAGCATAGGAATAATGTTGAATTTCTTTCCCTCATAATGCTGTAACCTAGCCCAGACCTACTAGAATCTATTAAATACATATTCATGCATTCATTCACTCCACAAATATACATTAGTGTTGCCAAAAATTAAAAAGGAGCAAGGGCTCTGATCTTAAGGAGAATACAGTCCAGTGAGAAAGAGAGGCCCCATACAAGTATATACAACATTTCAGATAATCATACGTACTCTGAAGAAAAACAAGAAAATGTGACAAAGAGCACTGAGGAGTCAAAGAGGATGGTGGTCTTGGGAAGAAAAAAAAGAAATATTTTAAATCTATTTACCATCACAAATATATGCTATTTGCCAAAGGAATAGTAGGCATGACTTGAAAGGTTATAATGACTAAATCATCAATCTAACATCTAACATCATCTAAAGCATCATCTAACATAATTCATAATGTCAATTTCATAT